GGGGCTGCAAGGTCCCAGGATACGGAAGAGGCTGGCCTGTGGAGTCAGGCAAAAGGATGGAGCGAAGTCAGTCCAGAGGCTCCGCATCAAGGGAAGGGGCGGGGCTCGGATCCTGGAGCAGCTTTGTGGGCAGTGGGGCCTGGGTCCCGGTGTGTGGGAATAACCGCGCGCACTCCTTGCTAAGGTACCGGGGCCACGTCGGTGCGTCGCTGGTCGTGGGCGGCATAGACCCAACAGGACCGCAGCTCTACAGTGTGCACCCTCACGGCTCCTACAGTCGTCTGCTTTTCACGGCCCTGGGTGAGCGGCTCTGCCGGGTCCTCACGAACCCCACCCCTGCGACCCTGGCCTCATGTTTGCCGCCCTGGTTTACCTTAGATGCCCCTTCTGCCCGCAGGCTCTGGCCAGGACGCGGCCCTGGCGGTGCTGGAGGACCGGTTTCAGCCAAACATGATGGTGAGCGACACCTGACCCCCACTACGCGGTCGTTGGTGGGAAGTGCACCCGGGAGCTAGGGGAGCGCAGAGGGACCCTGGCCTGGTCTGGAGGTCGGGGAAGGCTTCTCAGAGGTGACGACTGAGTGGAGACAATAGGGACCAGTGAGGGTAGAGGAGTGCTATTTTCCAAAAGACCACCTTCAGTGCCAAAGTTTTGGACTGCCAGGAGAAGTCAAAGCTCAGAGAGGACCGTTTGGAGCTGAGGGAGGAAACAGCAGGTGGGGTTTGGAGTCTGGATTTTGTTTGGGTTGGGATGGAAGTAGATGACGTATGTTTTAGGTGCCTAAGACCCTGAAAGAGAAAGGCAGTAACCTGGTGGATTAGGGGCCAAGACCACATTGGTTGGGTGGATAGGCCACTGGAATCAGAGCCATGTGTGAAAGTGACCCAGAGAAGTTTGTGAAAGTGACTCAGTGGGCAGTGGAAACAATGCGGTCTCTGGAGACAGAGGCAGACACCAGGGAAGGGGAGTTTGGGGTGGAGATATGGGTGCAGGGGGAGAGAGGAGTTTGGGTGTGAGCAAATGGTTAAGTCATCTGAGCTTAAAGATTAATAAAGTCCCCAGGCTGTATCCCAAGGGTGATACCAGAACAGTCTCTCAGACCTCATACACACATCACCACAGCTGGAGGCCGCACAGGAGCTGCTGGTGGAAGCCATCACTGCAGGAATCCTGGGTGACTTAGGCTCCGGGGGCAGTGTTGATGCATGTGTGATCACAGCGACCGGCGCCAAGATGCTTCGAAAACTGAGCTCGCCCACAAAGCCCATCGAGAGGTGGGAGCAAGGGAGAAGGGGGACCACAGGGAGGATGGGCTGTAGCAGGGAAGGTTGGGGGCTGTAAGAGAACAGGCCACATGATGGGCCCATATTGAGAAGACATTTTTCCTCCATCCCAGGCCCAGCCAGTACCTCTATGCCCCTGGGACTACAGCTGTCCTGTCAGAGACAGTGGTGCCACTGTCCCTGGAACTGGTGGAGGAAACCGTGCAGACCATGGAGATGGAGTGAAGTAGGCTGAGGCTTAGAGCTTGGAACAATGGGGAATAAACACAGAAAATACAAACACCTGAACAGATGGCTATGTTGTTCTTGGGTAGAGGATGTGAGCAGCTAGCAGGGCTCTGTGGCTAAGGTATCCCTGCAGAGGCCACTCCCTCCTACGGCTCCAGTGTCTGATCTAAGAGGTGCCCTTCACCCATCACCATAGGCATCTACTGCCCTCCAGAACCTCAGCCCTGGCAAGCACTGAAGGCTCAAGGTGGAAAGCCCCCTCCCGACTCTACACCATAGAGGTCCCCCTACCACACCTTGCTCTTGCCCTCTAGTCCACTGGGGACTGTTGTAAAACCTGAAAGGCCCCAGGTACTGCCCCCACTTAGAGCCTTTGCCTCACTCATCAGTAGCCCAGGACAAAGCCCGTATCTCTCAGTCAAGCCCCCTTCCCCACCAGATGCCACTGAGGGCTGACAGAGGAGTTGCTCCCCGATTCCAATGGCAAGTTCTCAGAGCACTCAATTCCTGTTACACCTTTAGCTGTGAAACCCCTCCAATAACCAGGCAAACCTGAGGTGCTAACATGAAGCTGGGCTGTGAGTAGGGGGATTCACTCCCAAGTTTTCTGGGCTGACAGGGGTTACATGTGGGGACATGACACATGTATCCAACAAATCTTTGCTGGGCTCCTACTGAGTGCCAAGCCCAGGTGCTGGTAGCAGCATCCTGCCCTCAGAATGGCTGAGCTCCACTGGAGCTTTGCAACTGCCCAACCTCTGAGGAGGGTCTACTCTAGGCTGGAAATCTCTGGGCCCCTGATTATGCTTTTCTCCCAAAGCATTTTATTAGGAGTATTTTAAAACGTAAAACTTGAAGAATTGTACACTAACACCTATTATCCACCCCAGACTTTACAATTAGTATTTTGTTAGATCTGCTTTATCACATATCTATTCATCCCTCTACTCAACCATTAACTCGTTTTTTTTAACTGATGTGTTCTTGAAGTAATTAAAACCCGCACACCCCTAGGAGGCCAGCCAACTTACCCATTGCGACTTTGCACACAGGACCTCTTCTCTCCCTTGATTCAAGCTCGACAGCACAGAGGCAGTAGACACCAGGGGCTTGCCTACATGATCCCCAAGGCGTGGAGGTTAGAGATTCGATGACTGTCACCCTTCTACTAGCATCCTCTGTACAAGGTTGGGCAGTCACTGAGGGGGCATACGTTGCCCTCCTGTGCACCAGTCCCCTCCCAGGCATAATGTCATTAGAGTGCAGTCATCAGAGCCAGACAGATGAAGGTCTGGGTCCAACCACACCATGTGCTGTTGGGAGAGGCACCATCTGTGTGAGCAAACTGTGACTCCTAAAATGAGGAATCATTAAAATAATACCTATTAGGATTCACAACCTGCTAGAACTGTCCTGGCCACATCACCCTGGCCCTCCACAGTAGAACTGGCACAGTTGGACATTCCCTCCACCAGTCAGGAACACCCCTGGGTACTGAGCAGGCTTCTCTAAGTCTGGTGGCCTTGAAAGGCCTGGGAGACTTCCCTGATCCAGGCCACCAGGTGGTCACCATAGACCTAATTTAACCATAAGTCCTTAGGACCCAGTGCTCAGCACTTGGGATGTAAAGTGGTTCAGGTAGTCAATCAGAGGCCAGGTTTTAGGGGGTGGAGGAGCTGAGAAGCTCACAGCTGGGCTCTTTCTGATAGTCCAGGCTTGTATTGAGGACCTTGGCCTAGAGAGACCCTGTTCTAGAATAGAGCGTGGGACAGGGCTGTGCCCATACAGCTGGCCTGGCCTCATGCCTGGGACTTTAGCCCAAGGACAAGGAGACCCATAAAGCCAGGCCCAGTTCTCAGCCTCATGCCTGCCACAATGATGCTGCTCAGCCTGACCCTTACCCTGATCCTGCTCGGCTCCTCCTGGGGTGAGTAAACCTGGACCTGCCCCGGCTCCAGCCCAGGCTTCCTGCCCAAGGGCTCAGGGAGAGGGCCAGGCAGGCTGGAAGGGAAGCAGGTGGACAGAGTGGATAAAGGAAAAAGGATGTTCCAAGGCTGTGATGAAGCAAGAGGTGGACAGGAGCTTGGGGCAGGCCCAGGAGCCAGGGAAGGTTTAGAAACCTGAGAAGTGAAAATTGGACATGTAGTTTAGGAAGAGCCTTCTGGCTGCATGAAGGACCATGGAGAGGGTAGAGAGGCCAACAGATTATCCCAGGAGTCAGGAAGACAAGTGGCCTGGACTGGAGGATGGGGATGGAGTTGAGGAACAGTGGGGAATAGGTTGGAGATGGAGAGCGAACATTTGGGGGCTGGTTAGATGGGAATAACCAAAAATGTACAGGGGCCCAGAAGGAGCTCAGGGTAAGAAGGGGTAGTGATGGGCCCTCTCGATTTAGACCCCTCTGGGGTGCAGAGCTGGAGGCATCTGGGAGGAGGAGGGGGAAAGAGGTTGGCTGGGGTGTGGGAAGCAGGTCCTCACTAGCCCAATGGCCAGGCTGCGGCATTCCTGCCATCAAACCCGCACTGAGCTTCAACCAGAGAATTGTCAACGGGGAGAATGCAGTGCCAGGCTCCTGGCCCTGGCAGGTGTCCCTGCAGGTACATGCACCCTGGGGGTGGGGGCAGGGTCCCAGGTGCTTCATGCCTAGGCAAACCCTGAGTTCCCCCTCCCACTTCTGACCCTTGAACCCAGGACAAGAGCGGCTTCCACTTCTGCGGTGGTTCCCTCATCAGCCCATCCTGGGTGGTAACTGCTGCGCACTGCAATGTCGTGTGAGTGCTTCCACTCCACCTGCCCCATCCCAACCCTTCTCTCCCCACTTCCTTTCTCTAGACGCCCCTCTCTTGTTGCTCTGCCCTCCCTGTGGCTGTTTAACCCCATTCTCATTGCAGCCCTGGCCGTCACTTTGTCATCCTGGGCGAGTATGACCGATCATCCAGCTCTGAGCCTTTGCAAGTTATGTCCATCTCACGGGTTAGTACCTGAGCTGCAGACATAAGAAAGAAGAGTGGGCAGTACCAGTGGGTGGGCTCTTGGGGTGGGGAGTTAAGGGTATGCCCTGGCTTAGCCCTCTCAGCACCTATGAACCTTGGGGACCTGTGCACACCTCATTCTACATGGCCCTGCTTGGCTCCACAGGCCATCACACATCCATACTGGAACCCCACCACCTTCAACAATGACTTGACACTACTGAAGCTTGCCTCTCCAGCCAAGTACACAACACGCATCTCACCAGTTTGCCTGGCTTCCCCAAATGAAGTGTTGCCTACAGGCCTCACGTGTGTCACCACTGGCTGGGGCCGCCTCAGTGGCACAAGTAGGAACTTGGGCCAAAGATCTAGGTGGGAGAACTAGGGTGGGGACAAGTCATCTGGGACCTAACCACCCCCTTCTGGCACAGGCAATGTGACCCCAGCACGCCTGCAGCAGGTGGCCCTGCCCCTGGTCACTGTGAGACAGTGCCAGCAGTATTGGGGCTCACGTATCACCGACTCCATGATCTGTGCAGGTGGCTCAGGGGCCTCCTCGTGTCAGGTGAGCACCAACACCCTGTCCTGTCCTCTGGTACCCTGCCCCCATGCCCCTATACTGACTTCTCCCCTCTCCTTCCCTCAGGGTGACTCCGGAGGCCCTCTTGTCTGCCAGAAGGGGAACACGTGGGTGCTTACAGGCATTGTCTCCTGGGGCACCAGCAACTGCAATGTGCGTGCACCTGCCATGTACACTCGGGTGAGCAAGTTCAGCACCTGGATCAACCAGGTCATAGCCCAAAGCTGAGCCTACCCACAAGCCACTCCCCTCTTAATCCAATAAAGACCCCGGACTCTGTCCTCTTGTGTCATCTTGTCTGTCCTCCTGGCTCAGGGGGTGTCTATCCCTACATGGACTTTGTCTTCTGGCATGGCAGGTGTTCAGGAGTCAGGATCTCCCTAGAGTAGCCATGCCCAGGCTGTGCCCCCCCACCCCTCCTCCTCCTGGGTGACCTCTTGGTGCACAGCAAGGAGCCTGGGCTGTCAGAATGGGCAGCCTTCCCTGAGGAGGGCAGCCTGTTTATTGAGTACAGAGGATACATTTACAAACTGAGTACACAAAATAAATAACTGCACATTCTCCACCCACGGTCCATGGCATGAAGGCCCAGGTGGGCCTGTCAAAGACCCAAGTCTGCAAACTCCCTCTGTCCTATCTTCAGGACCAGGCCTATCCTGGGCAAGAGAGGAAATAATTTCCTAGGGCTTCAGGCCCCCAGGGGCACTTGGGAAAGTCCGGGGAGTTCTGAGGCCATAGGGCTTGGACTCGCATCTGCCTTATGCCAGGGGCACTGGGGGCAGAAAGAGGGGTTGTATAAGGCACAATTGACTTGGCCCAGAGTGATCTCTTTGGCTTGGTATCCCACTAGAGGTGGCACATGCAGAAAGAGGAGGGCCTGGCCCAAGGCTACCACTGGGAGGAACTGAGTGAGGGCCAAACCCTCCCTGCTGGCAGGAGCCCTGCAGTCTAGCTAAGGCTAAAGCTGGGCCCTGGCTCTTCCTACCCAGATAGCAGCTGTGGATTGAGGGGGCTTGGGTTCCAGCCCAGTTTGTGGTGGGAGAAGGCACCATGACTAACACGGAGATGGTCTGGCTCAGACCTCTGGGAAAGCAGCCACCTAATTCCACTCACCTTCCACAGGAGCTCCCTCCAGCCTGAGATTCAGTGGGGACCAGACTGGAAGGGTAATGCTGTGAAAGGAAGTGGGGACAGGCTAGACTGGGCAAGGCCAGCTGTGAGGCCAGTGCCCCAGGTGCTCAGGGTTCGGAGGCAGATCACACAGTTTGGCTAAGTTCCAGGGGAAGCTACACAGAAGCTTGGCAGAAGGGGAGAGTAGAGCAGACCGGAAACCTTCCCTCAATGCAACAGCTCCTTCCCACTTCCTCCTGGAGGATGAAGGGTGAGCACTGTGGTCATTCCTAGGATGTCTATGCTCATGCCAGACACTAGATGGCACCTTCCTGCAGCTGCAGAGGAGGGAGCAGCGGAGCCTGAAGGGAAAGGACAATGGGAAGTGCCAAGCGTAGAACCAGGGCTGGCACAGGGACTCTCCCTGGGAAGCCCCTGCCCTTTGCCTTGGCCCAGGTGCCTCCATCCCCCAGGTAGCAGCAGTGGGGCTCCCTTTAATGCCCCACAGTTGGGAAGGAGGCACCTGGAGAATAGAATAAGCATCCAAGGGGGAGAGAGAGGGGATGGTAGGCTCTGCAAAGGAGGCACTGAGAGCAGTGGGCTGGTGGTGGGCAAGAACTCTCTCACAGTCAGAGAGAGGTTGAAGCCTGGAGCAAGCCTGCTACCAATAGGGCCACACAGTCCAGAAGGACCAAGCCATGGCCCTACCACAAGAGATCCTGGCATGTCCTAGGGCCAGGAATGGTCCTTGGAGTCTCCATGAAGGAAGACAGATCTTGACTGAGAGGTGGGGGGATGTTTAGACTTAGCCAGGGACTGAGAGTCCACCCAAGGCACAAGCTTTGTGCGTACCTGGGACTCTCACTGGAGCATAATCATGAGGATCAGGATGCCATGGAATGTGGGGGGCCAGGCAGGAAGGTTTGGTGGAGGAAAGGGGGCGGTTCCAGAAATAACTGTCCCAAAGAGTCCTGGAACCACAGGACACCCTCCACCTGGGATTGCAAGCCCCTTTGGTCTGGCCAAGAGCCAAGGGCAAGGAGCGAAGGAAACTGAAAGCCAGGTCCTACGCTTTCCCCAACTTGTACCAGAGCAATTACCCACCAAAAGGAACATCAGTGTCAGGCCAGGCTCCCAGTTCAGGGGGCTCCCTCCATTCTGTTACACCAGGCCCAAGGTGAGGATGAGGGCTTCTGAAGGGACAGAGAAGGGGCCAGGGCCATTCACCTACCACTGACCATACAGGCCTATCTCCAGAGAGGGCATTGGGCCCTAATGGCACAGCAGTGTGTGACAGGCTGGGACCATGCCATGTTTCTACCACTGCCAGGCAGCTCAGCCATTGTACTGCTGCTGGTAGCGCAGGTTGAGCTCCCGCAGCTCCCGCTCCCGCACTCGGCGTGACTTGTTGGAGCGTGTAGAGCGGCTGGAACGTGTAGATTGGGCAGATTTGGTGCTCTGGCAGCGTGAGGAGGCGCGTTTGAGGAGGTTCTGGGAGATGGAGCGGTGCAGATTCTTCATGGACGAAGAAGCTGCCATGCTCACCACCCATGGGTGCCTCAGGGCCTGCAGTGCAGTCATACGGGCGCCAGGGTCCACTGTCAGCAGGCGGTCAATGAAGTCCTTGGCCAGGTTGGATACACTGGGCCAGGGCTAGAGGCCAAGGACAAGCATTAGAGTGAGAACACTCAACACAGCTTTCCCCATCCCAACAATGCCACCACTACAGCACTTAGACTTGTCCAGCGTATGCACTCTCCCCTCTTTATCTGGCTCCTCCCATGTAGAACATTCTGGGCCTCCCTTCCCTAAGGAGAAGGACCTGCCCTGCTCCCTAAGGAGCAAACCTCTAAGGTTCCCTGGACTCAAAGCCTGACTCAGGGAAGTGGGCCCTGTGAAGACCCCTGCATTACCCCTGGACCACTATAACTCAGAGGGATTTAAAGAGAATGACCCAAACCTTCCTCCCTATCCTGAGCCAGACTTTTTTATTTTTTTCAAGAAAGCAAGTCCATTTTTATTTATTTATTTTTCAATAAGTTTAAATTCTTGAGGGGTACAGCATTTACACAGATTCTGTGTCCAACTCCCTTAGCTGGAAGGTCGCTTTGGAATTTGGCATGAACAGTGCCACTGTTTCCATGAACATGAGTTACCTTTCCCCAGATTACTCTGGTTTTGTTTGGTTTGCCACCAGGAGTCACTGTGTTCTTTGTCTTGTACACATAGCACATCTCTTGCCTAGAGAGAATTCAGTTTCTTCTTGAATATAAACACCTTTAATTTTAAAAAGAGCTGTGTGTTCCCCCTTGTTTCAAAGACCCTGATTATAGCCAGCAAAAGTGGCCTTGGACCACAGCCTTCCGAACAAGTTTTTCATTTTAGAAGTCCCGTTCCCAGCAGGTCTTGACAGGCTCTAAAAGCCACACTTAAGTTCTAATCCCTGGATGCCCACACCAGGGCACTTAGAGGCAAACTTCCTAGTCCTTAAAGAGAGAGTCCACCCTCCCTCCAACTGGCAAAGTGGTGGTGGGCTACCATAACAGGCCCTGCACCAAACATCATTTTCCCAGCCATGGGGAGAAAAGGAAACAATTCAAGACAATTATATTTCTCCATCTGCTGGGAGGAGAGGGAGTTCCTGCAGGGAGAGTCTGGACACCCTGGGCCCTCAAGTCCCTGTGCTGGAGGGTAGATACAACACTGCTCCAAGTCCCAGCATCTCCAGGGGCACTTTGGCATAGGCTCTGATGCTCCCCAAAGGGTGGGAAGCTAGGACCTTTGCTGAGCCTGTGGCAGATGGCCATCACCCTCCTTCCTGCCAGGTGAGATCTGCCTATTCCAACAATGCCCTTCCCCTTGGAGAACCCCTGAACGTACTCTCTAGGGGGTACAGGAAAATCTGGGAACCCACATTTGAGGCAGCTCCATGCCCATTCAGCAGACTCAATTAAACAGTGACTATCTCTGCCCCCAGCTGGGCTCCCTTGACTTCCAACTCCTCCCCCATGCCCTTCTCCACTACTGTACAGGAGTGGGGCAGGGAGAACACTTATCCAGAGTCCTGAAGAAGGAGTGGGGCTACTTGCAGTTACTACCTTTATTTGCCCTTTGGAAGGCAAATCTCAACCTTTACTGAGCTTAACAGGAAGAAAGCAAGACAGAGAGACCACATTTCTAAACAGCCACCTAACAGAGTCCTCCTCAACAATGGGCCAGCTCCCAGAGTTTCCTGGGAGATAGATACTGGCCCTCAGGAGAAGGGTGAGCAGTCAGGGCCTCCGGAACATGCAGCCCAGGGAGGCCCATAAATACCTTGCTGTCTGAGAGCAGTGAGAGGGTGCAGGAAGCAATGGCCCTCCTGCACAGGCAGCCTAGTCCACATTTCCCTATAGGCCTCCAATACTGAGGCCAACATGAAGGGTGACTGGACTGTACAGTTGTTGCCACAGTAGCTTTTGGCTCATACTTCAAGAAAGCCCCCCACGACTTGCTGTTGCCACCTAAACACAAGGAGCCAATGTGAGGGACCAGCCAATCCAAACTGGAGACACTCACTGCAGCCCGTCACTCATTTAAGCGATACAAAGAAACAGGCACAATATGGTCACTGATGGACAAAGCAAATCTAGAGCTGAACAGGTTGGGTCATGGGAATACCAGTGCTACTCAGCCATCTTTCATGGTCTCCAAGAAAAGGAGAAATCACTGGGGAACACAATGTAGCTCAACTTAGCCTGTTGGTGGGACAGCCCAAGATACAGCTGGCAACCTAGGCTAGCCAAACAGAGCTAGCACATGGATTCTGCGCCTGCCCCTTGGTCCAGCCAAGAGAGAAGAGGGTCAACTCCTCTGCCGATGAGAGAATAAATAGCTGCAAAGCTGGACTCAAAAGCCAAGAACTTGAACATGGATTGGAGACCGCTCCACTTTACATCTACACCCAGCCAAAGCAAGGCCCCCTGCAGCTCCAAAGCAGTCGATGCAATCTCAGCCACCCTGTGGGCTTAAGCATCTCCATCTCCAGAGTGGCACAGGCACATGCCAGGCATCAACCCCTGCTGCTCGTCATGTGGCCAGCCGTTAGTGCCAAAGTGAGTCAGATTGATCCTACTCCCCCAAACACTCGCCTCTCCAATTACTTGTGTACATGAGGCTATGTGCAGAATGCTGATGGACTCATCTGAGGGTCAGCCCAGCCCTCTCTGGCAGGACCCAGAGTTCCCCATTTTTGAGGAATTGTGAGCAGCTGGGCCAGGTGGGTCCCCT